TAACCGGATCCCAAACCAATGGTGCACATGGGCTAGAGTATCCTGCGGGAACAAACGGCGTATGAACCAATCGTTGGTCACTGGCTACCATGGGAGTGCATCACCTCACGATGCTCCACTGCCTTGTGGGTCAGAACGTAAGGTCAAAGGTTCGGGGTGTGGCCCTCTAAGAAAACCACATGCTTCGGTCTGGGCACCTGGGCAGTATCACAGCCCTCACACACACAAATATGGTGTGGTGCATATATATTTGGTGCCCTCTTGTACCAGTATTTATGTGTTGAAATAAATAAATAAATAAATAAACGTATCCATTTATTCCAATCAATGACTTCAAAGTAAAATCATCGGAGATCAATCATACTGGTTGTCAATTATTTAACTGGTACATTTTACACCAAAATACTAAACCAGTTCTCATTTTTATATACAAATTTACATTCAACACTCACATGAAGTGAAAATCATTTCCTAACTAATGCTTTTCCTTCTGTTTCATTCTCTCAAATAGTCTTGAAAATGTTATAGAATTTTTTATTCATTTGTGAGGGTTTATGTCATCCCATTGTTGATTTTAATCACTCCAATTCATCAGTCTCTTTTTGAATACGTACATCCAGAAAGGATAGATGTGGTATTGATGTCAACTCAAGATCATTTCACTCAAAATTCTGAGGGTCCTCTAGGATACATACCGATAAGATTTCATCTTCCTTGCACAAGTCGGTGGCTATTTGTACTAAGAATTTGAGTAGATCTAACATTCAGTGTCTCAAGCGAACGTTAACAGGTTGAGGTCTAGATGTAAATATAAACACGGGTGCAAGTGCCGTCAACTAATCAGACTAACAGAATCATGATGTTTACTGCTAGTCACTAAAAACAACACTTCATAATTATTGAATAGATTTACTTTGTTATAATTCTGGATTAAAATCAGTAGTGGGATATCAATTGTGTGATAAGTTAACAACTAACGAATATCTTTACAATTGATGAACCAATTGAATATTATTTAGTTTCAATAGATTGTCGCATGAAGTGTTGAAAAGAAATCCATACGAACTAGATTTCATTCACATTGTAAACACTAAAATGATAATGCAAGCTAGTGAATACGACAGCCACTAAACAAGTTGAAACTCCTGTCTTGGTTCGAAAGATTGACAAAACCGTATATCACTAGGCAATGGTAAACGATCCGTAAATGACCCTATGCTTCAGTGATAATTAATCAGATGTACTTCTGAATAATGACAACACATTGATATGAATCTGTATTATGTTGTAGAAGTATTTCGATGTATTCACTCTGTCATTGTCATCTACAAATAACATATTTCTGATTATATGATAAAACTATTCGGTAATGATTGGCATCGACAAGATGGACGCTAAAAGATGGAAGTCAGACAGAACAGGTTAAGAAACGCGGTCAGAGCCTTTTGACTAGTATCAAAATGATAATGTATTCAGTGAACATCGACTCCCAAAATAGTTTCAAACCTGTTATAATTATTAATTGTCAGAAAATAATAAAGATATTCAACTGTCTTTCAATTTCTATGTGGGTATCCCCTGAGCTTATTAATAATACAATGAGCATTCAAGAACTTTCAAATTTCTATTGAAATAAATACCCATTAGGCATAATTGCTACTTATGAGTAGTAATAACACTTAAAGTTATTTTGTAAATTATCCCTTATAAAGAACCAATCATTATAGGCAATAGTATAGTTATAAACGTCATTTGCTAACCGTCACTTATTAAGGGTACAAATATATATATATATATATATATATATATCAATTAGGAAGATTCGTGCGAAGAAATATAACTTACGTCTCAATAACAATGAAGCATAATTGTTTAAACTGCTTTCAAAGTGAAACATGCTCCTAGATATACCGTTTTATATTTTTGATTATAAATATACCCTCATCTTATATTTTTCATAGCATTGGGAGATGAACGTAAGTTATCGAACAATGTTCATTCACTAGTTCATATTTGTAATAGTACTTACACTGACGAACTCATCATTATATTTCATATATTCTTATGAAACCTGTGAGATCATAGAAATGAAGACGGATTCGGGGTGTGGGATCGTGGATGCGAACTGATGAGGAGTCCCATACTTGGACGAAACGGCCGTCCAGTGCTTCCAGGTTTTCCATGGTGGTCTAGCTTCAACTGACTCATGATTTCAATCTGTGAAATAAATAATTGATGGAAACATATAGTTACATGAAATGTATGAATTTCTTCACTAAACAGATTAATTTCAGTTGTTGTAATCATGAGTCAATTGAAGCTAGACCTGGAATCACCATGTTTTCAGGTTTTCCATGATAGCCTAGCTTCAATTGACTCATGATCTCAACCATTGAAGTTACTATAATATCCACAAAAAACCACTTCTAATATTAAACAGATTAAGTTGAGAGTTATCACTACCAAGATTGAACTTGATAGTTTCAAATTAATTAAGCATTGGATAGAGAGTTAATAATCAATATATTTCTATTATATCCCAATAAATAGAAAAATTAAATTCCCGATGTTTCGTGACTCGGTATAAACCGCTTCTTCAGAGCAAATAAATAACCGAAATTACTGATTTACATTTAAAGCCATTTGAAAATATTTATCACTAGTTTTTAGTTAGTTGAATAATTTTCTGGTTAGCATTTTTAGCGAGTTAGTTTTCTACGAGATGGGGTCACTAACACCATGCAAAACCCTCCTCCTTTATTCGGACTTGGTACCGGCAGTGGCCTCCAGAGGGACTCCAGTTGGAGTTTTTTAGTTGATTAGTTACAATATTTAGCATTATATGCATTAGTAAGTCCCTCTTTACAGACAGTAATATAATCACACTCATGCGAAAAGTAAACCATACAATAATAGACAAGCTTTATTAAGACATTTACAACAACGTTGTAATAAATTAGGCTAAATCTATTTTTATCTCCGAAAAGAAATCAATCGAATCTATTACAAATCTTTTCATGGAACTATCATATCTTGTAAATAATACACCCCATTTAATCTTTGAATGGAATGGCTGATATTCAATCATAATACTTTTCTTAAACCAGATTTATAATCTATCATCAACAGCCTCATCCATGAGATAATCATATATTTGACAGTTTGTTTACTTAATGGGAATTACAATTAACACCAGAATAGAAATTATTTAGAAGATGATTTAAGATAACGTTACCTATCTACATTGTTACTTCATTTAAATTATTTGTGCCAATTGATATTTTGAAATATTTTTCAAGCTATACCTCGACCTAGTAAGTCATCAAATCATATCTCCATCATATATATATATACATCACTTAACTCATGATTTATGTATAGTTTGAACAGTCATGTCAAACATTGATAGCCGGTGTATATTATTAAATATGACATAATCTTTGTGGAAAGATTGTTCTTTTACAAAATACTATGCTATTTATTAATAAAGGTTCAAGTTCACCTATGGAAATTGTTATATCTTATGGCCTGAGTGCCCTGCTAACGTATACGTAACGATACCGCCAATGAGAGAGCAGTGAATTATCAATCGGATCAATGACGCATAAAACCTGTGCGAGCAGTCTGGAGTACTTATCGGTCCTGCTTCCTGCCTAGCATGGACAGTTAAATTCAGAACATCGATCTCAGCCTCTCCAATATGAATCATTTATTTCAAACATACTCGGCTTATAATGCCAACCAGACAGACCACATCGTACCAATAAAATACGAAACAACATTTATACAAGATTTGACCAAATGTGGCTGTGAATGTAGGAGGTAGTGAGTGATTAATAGACAGGGCATAATTCAAGAATGGTAAATGGCATAATAATAGTTCATAGGTCAAAGTAAAGTTAATAATAAGAGGGACGTGAATATGAATAGTTTAGTTATTTAACAAATATACGATAAAAATAAACTCATAGTATTCGTTCATAAGTGGATCCCAAAAGTTATCATCCATTATGCTTATCACGTCATAACAGAGATGATACATCAATTATGTCACAATCGTTCTCTTTCAGATTGATATTTCAACACTTAAACCATTTTAGACAAGTAGTCATCGATATTTAATTGATTAGTTAGTATTTCTCATGTTAGCGTCAACAATCTACTGAACTGAAACTATTAACCATTTTCCACTCCCAAGTGAACGATCAACAATATTAAAGCAGATCAACTGTTACAAAGATTGTTAGGCTCAATCAAACATTTCAAATTCCAATTTCCAATTTTTATATGATAAATGTTTTGAAAATAAGTAATGAATAAGACACTGTTGACTTAATACTCCAGCAGGAGTATGTATAATTCTGTTTCTTTTCATTAAACTTAGTTGATTGGGAGGAATTGGAAAAAATAAGTATGTTTTAATTTGTAAAACTCGAGAAGATAAAGCTTACATATGTCGTTTTGTGAAATGCGTGTTTATTTGAATAAAGTTCATTTATAACTTTGTACACATCAACTGAAATTCATTCAATAGTATTTGCCTCAAAACCATCCTAGTTGAGTTACCACTGTACATAAGTGAGACATTGACAACTATTGATATATTAGTTGTTAAATAATAATATTTTACAAACTGTGATTTTTCTGATCATTTCTACGATTTATGATATAAGTTTATGAGCGTGCATAATTAGCATATAAATAATGTAACTTCAGTAGTTGAGATCATGAGTCAATTAAAGCTAGACCACCATAGATAACCTGGAAGCAGTGGACGGCCGTTTTGTTCTATTGTGGGACTCCTTAGCAGTGCGCATCTTTGATCTCGCCTCACGAGATTTGAACCCAGGACCTTTAAGTAATGAATAGTATTATTGTGTTCTAAAAATAATTCTGATGTTCAAGAAGGTGATATCAATGGTCATTATTAAAATTGTCAAATTGTAATCTGAGTTAAGAAATCCAAATTTTCAATAGAATATTCTTTGTCTAATTTACAGATGATGTAGAAAGCGGAATAGCTGATTTCAGACAAAATGAAAAGTCACTACAGGCCACAATAAGTAAGTGAGATATGAACTGATTTCTGTACGCAAATACATAACTAAGAAAATCTACATGTCTTAAACATACTTTCATGCATAGCACGACTTATTAACATGTAAAAAAAGAAGTTAAAAGACACAGCAACTATATATAGTAACGAACTATTTGATACATTTTTTCCACTTAGTCTTTTTTGAATGGTGTCCAACTGAAATTCATTTTACAACAACTAATCCAAGAAACATCAAACACAGTTCCCTGTTTGCCTCACAGTGGTTCCAACGTTAAATTGAGGAGTTGAAAGTTTTGAAACATATATATTTCTCCTCATCAAGATTCTAACCATGTAATTACGCGAATAACAGTAGAGTTAGTGCGATCGAGTGATGCTATCAGTTATATACGCATGACTCATGGATTTGCTCTGCTATTTATTCTGGTATTTAGTGGTATATTTCACACAATCTTAATCCTTATGTCTATCAATACTTTTCTAAATAACGGATAGTCATCCTGTGAGGTGACTGATAAATGTCGTGTTTCATAGTCTACACCACAGTTTAGTCTTAGTGAGACAACCAGCGTAAATTTATGTGCACTCAACAATTGTTTCATTATAGCATGAAACTCCTCAGTAGTGTGCAAACGTCATCGATCAAGAGGATAAAACACATGGTTTGGATACGTTTTGCTCAGAAGTCTAGGTGTTTCTTAGTTTGCAATGATGTAAACAACGAACTGTACTAATCTCTCATACTTAACTAATTATTTGTTTGAAGAATTTCTAAGAATAAAACTGAAATCATTTTATCGTTTAAATGTATGTCTGTTTCTTTCAGATAAGATTATTCACAGTCAACCTAAAAGACTTAAAGCGATCGAAAAATGTATGTTGAAAATCAAGATTATTTGCATTAAATCTCATGGTTGATTTTAGATGTGAAGTGTAAAAGTAAACAACATCACAAAGAATCCTTCAGCTTATTTCTCAAAGGTTTGAACAGATATTACAAATAAACTTTTGTTGAAGTGTAGATCTTCTTAACTCATCATTCACACGCATACATCATTACACTGATTTGTTTCAGTCATTTCGATTTTTCACAAATCAAATAGGATCACAAATCATCCTACTTCTTTATTATACTTACTTTCTAGAAGTTACACAAAACGACGCAATGATAATTAGCGTGATCACATTCCTGATCTGTGTTAAAAAACACCATGAACATTTCAGATCATTTAAACAAAATGTGTCCAAATGATTTAGAATGGTATTAAAGCATGTATACCATGTTTCAAACTATCCAGATTCAGCAGACAATCTCTCTTATATTATCACTACCAAGATGTAACCACATAAATTGAAGTGAATAAAGTTGTATGCTTAAATAACATGACAATGTTCCGGTCACCACTATTTGGGTGCATTCAATCACCTTTCTGTTTAACACTGGGTCTAACTGAAGGAGGCTACTGATTCGTTGAACAGTTTGTTTAAATTTCCTCGAGACTTATAAACTATTTAATCTTTCTATTTATCAGAATATTACGAATAAGCACTCTATATATGTAGTTAATTTGGAAATATTTCACCAATAGTGAAATTCGACTGTCAACACAAGAGCTCCATTTTGGTTACAAACTAAAACACTATCATCTTATAATCTTTAAGCATAACTAAGATTGTTCATTTAGTGTAGTTTACTTGTATTGTTATTTAGAACTACGATTGATCAGTCTTTTGTTGGCATATGTGCATTCTGTAAGGACTGCCTCGATATTGCGTGAAGCCACAAGCTTTATAAACAAAAATGGATAGTGGCTAGAAGTGAAATCCAGGATGCGCGTTTCATCTCATTTGGAACTCGTCAGATGAATGTTCACTCTGAGACTCGAACCACACTATCGTAAGCTTCAAACGCCATCACGTTATCCACTTATCTACTGAGTCTTGATAGCCACCTGCTTGTGCAACAGGGTGATGAAACGCACGTCCTGGATTCCACGGCTAACCACTACCTTGCTTTCCTTATAACTAAAATTAGACTTCGCTATTCATATTGTTAGATATCATACAAATGAAAATCTGTTTATCTTCACTTAAATATTTTAGAAATGAATAAACAGTTTGAAAATAAACATCTAATGTCATGTATGATTTTGTCTTTTTTCTTCTTCTTTAAATAATTGTCCCTTACAATATTGAATGTAGATTCAATATCGATGGTGCTTATGATTTACAATGTTTGCTTTCGTGCAGTGTTCTCCGAAAATGTTTTCATAAATGTAATATCGATGTATGTATATATAACTTTCGAAAATAAAAGCAGTCACTTGTTTTCAATACAGTGAACTATTTGAATTGAAGTAGTAGATTTGACATTTAGTTGTTATAGTAATCTGTTTTTCCTTCTATAATTTTGAAGTTAATTTCATCTACTTTTCTTGTGTATCATTGATACTACAGTCCCTGATTATTCAACTCTGAAGAACTGCTTCATAGAACAAGAAAAGATTTTAGAAGGTCAGTGAAAATATTCTTAAATGTGTAGTTACATAAACAATATGCACATTTCTCATTCAATTACTATATGAAAATTGCCACTCCTGTTTTGCATATAAGCGATTGTTCACCTAATTAAGAAATTGGAATAGTCTATAAGGCTTACAGATGATCATTACTCATTCATGAGTTGAAAAAAATAAATGATGTTTCACTGTAGACAAATTGATAATGAATGACTTGTAGATATGCATTCCTAGACCTAAAACTAAAAGACATTTAGTGTTCACTGTTACCTGTTTGTTTTTAATTGGTCCTTTCAACTTAAATTCAACGGTGAATAATACTTGTTCAATTCAATAGAGGATTTCAGAATTCATGAAAATGTCTGGAAAATACAAACATTCACAAAACAACTAACGTACAGTTGACTTATTTCAGATGGTATTGGACATTGAATATTTTCAACAATACGAACAACACTTATTTCATATAAGTGATACAATTGTTTGAGGGACCACAAACGTAATCATTCAGACTAAGTAAATGATGTCAGCAAAATTTGTTACTATTTGATTTGGAATTGCATTATTGTTGCGAGTATGCCAAATACACTGGCAATAGCTAAGAATGAATATTACATTTTACGTCATTACATTATTAAAAGATATGTTGAGTTTACATGATAAAACACAGCATTTATACAGTTCACATTATAATAGTCATTCGAGTGGCTGTCATTCCAGACACACTTTCGAGGATAGGCAATGTAAATAAATTTGAGCAAGGCTGAACGAACCAGAACTTCGATCGTTCTTCTCATAAACCAATAAATTATAATGAATTCACCGCTTTATTTTGATCACCAATAGAGCCTGAACTTGATGATACTAATCGAGAAATATGTAAAATACTGACTTTTTATAAAACGGTTATAAAATATATCCTTCTCCGTCACAAATTCTTCTGTTCTATGTCGTCTGGATCGTCGAATTATGAAAGATTCATCTTCCTCTTCTGAACAGATAACTTTCATAATTCATTTGGTGAAGTATTTTAAAAATGAAGTAATGTTAACCAATCAGCTATGAATGTTTAGGGAAATAGACTTTTATATTTAATCAGACTACTGGTTTCTTGAGGACTTTTCAAAGTTTCTTTCCACTTCAAATACTGATCAGTTCAAGTAACAAAACCAATGTGAAATTATTCGTTTGAATTTTATTTCTAGGACAGAAGTCTAATAGCAACAATGAAGTTTGCAAAGCACTTAAGGCATTCCCTGAACAAGGTAAATTATAATAAGTGATATTCATTATGATGCATTTAAACAACGATGTGTTCTCATAAGTTGTAACTAATTATTTGTTTCTAATATCATCAGAAATTTACAGCTAATTTCTCGGAGGTTTAAAGAACGTCCATTTATCAAGTGTTTGTCCATCAATATAGGGTTCTGGAGATTGTTCAATTTCATTAAAATAAAGACATGAGCAAAGTCATATGACCATTTAAAACTCAAAGCACGGAACGGCCGTTTCGTCCTAGCGTGGAACTTCAGCATTTCAAGTCCACATCGACAAGAGTCAGAATCAAATACAAAACCTCCTTGGACTGATTAAAGTTGAACTGGTGGATCGGCACCTCATAGTTTATAGATTGAGCGTTTGCATGAGAGACTATAGATACTGAGTTTGATTCGCACCAGTGAAGTCGTGCATGCATTCTGATCAAAAGTCTAATACAAAATGACTGTTCAATGCGTCCATGTTTTCAATAGTTGTTTAACTTTGGTCGGTTTGCGATTTAGTGAAACAATTATCTGTCTACTACCCTTGTTTATGAACTGATGGGGTTGAAGCTATCACGAGTTCACTTAATCTGTGAACGACAAACAAGACACAGTGACCAAAGACAAGTAGGCTAGCTACTGATGCGTCCCAGCCCCGCCAACCAGAGGGCGAACTCCAAGCCTGGAATGGGGAAGTATATTCTGCAAACAGCCAGAAACGAGCGATAACAACAAACACAATTCAAAACGTATATATATAGTGCAAAACCGTCCTTGGGGAGTGTTACCGAATAGCATACTAAAAGACGCGACGTACCAATAGTATTTAGGATATTTTCCAGTGGAAAATACGACATGTAGGTGACGAGAGCGTCAATGGTGCAAAACCAAAGAAATTCAAATTTTTTAAAGAAATAACGAACTGAAAATGTATAGAACGTTAAGATGAATTCATCAGTATACTTTTAAAATTGATGGAAAACCTTTCTCATTCTTCTTCTAGATATTCAGGTTCTGAATTAATTAATTTCTAAGAAATACGATATTTTGTGGAAATGGAACAAAGCATTATGTAAGTATAAGTAATAAAATATTGTACATCTTTTATGAAGGAAATGTTCAGAAGAGAGTTTGAAATGTTCCGAATCTTTAGATTCATACACATACAAACAGTTTGTCAAGTATTCATATATTGTGAAGAAAGTCAATGAATTATGAGAATTTGAAAACATTAATGAGCAATTTATGTGACTTAGTAGAAATAAGTACATAGTCAATTGTTTGGAGTTAATCTCATCGTTTGCAGAACGACAGGTCAATCATTATAATGTATTTTACTGTACAAAATAACGATTTGTTCTTCCTTTGACATTTCAGTTAACTACGAATTTGCTTCGAAATATATTGAGCACACACTAAGTTTATTACAAGGGGTAATTCAAATTCACTACCGTTTTTAGAAACTAGCACAAGTTTCGCCATTTTGTGTTTGTCTCATGTCAGTTATTGCAATATGATGTCATTCAAGACAACTTGTTAACTGATTTGTTCTATTCAGACATACTTTTGTAGTGACTCACGTTTATTAAGAGAACACGACTGGTTCAATAAAAACAATTATTATTATAAACAGTTGTACCAGTGTTTATTTTAATGTGCTTTTGTTTGACTGTGCTAATTATAGCCATTTTGTGCTTCCATTACCTTCCATTGTTGTTTCGCGCCGTTTGCTGCTGTTCGCACGTATTCTATACTCCTGCTTCCGCTTGTACCGTTCTTGGCACGATCTCGGTATTCATTCGATACCACGAGATCGCCAAACGAATAAATCTGCTTACGCTCAACCTACGCCTTCTGATATTCTTGGCACGTGTATTTTGGTAGCGGTGTACATAGTCAATCTCGACTCGACGCCACTCTACAATTGGTGATCCCAAAGTTTGGAACACGCCTCAACCTCTGGTGAAATCTTCCAAAGAAGCCAGTTCGGTGAGTCTATTATTTATCTATCCACGTCTGTCGTATATTTTCATATTATCTTTTAATACATAATATACTCGACATGACGGATAACGATAAGAATAGTATTAATATAATAGACTCCCACGTATTTGTACCGAATCCTTGTCACTTTTTATTCGCGTGACGGTAAATCCCACGCTTTATTCGATTCTCCTCGCTGACCCGGCTGTTTGGTACGGAATGCATACGCTTAAGCATATCCGTCTACCACCCAGCACCAAATGGTTAAGTTGAACGGTTTCACTGCCCACTTAAAAGTGCTCTACGAGCACACGAAAACGGCAACTGGCACGAAACCTTACCGCTCGTTATTTTAGGGATCGGAACGAGCTTAAAGGCAGATATCCAATGTTCCGCCGCTGAACTTGTATACGGCACGACATTGTGTCTGCCCGGAGAATCCTTCACACCACGGAGCAGACCTGATTTCGGTAAATCAGACTACGTCCATCGACTGTCTGCATTTATGCGAACGCTGTCTCCGGTGTCAACTCGAATACAACATCGACAGGTCGCTCTCCCTCGAGAGTTATCTGCCTGTTCACATGTTTTCTTACGAGTAGATTCGGTACGCAAACCTTGGCAACAACCTTACGAAGGCTCTTTTCACGTGATCGCTCGTCACGAAAAGACCTTCAAGGTTGATCGATATGGACGCGTCGAAATCGTCAGCATTGATCGTCTCAAACCAGCACACGTCGATGACAGTGCCCTATCTGATACCCTGAGATTCAATGCTAGACCTATCAAACCTACTAGCGGGATCCTCAAACCATGTTCAGGTCTCACGCTAGATACATCTGAGGCCTCATTCTCACGTCCCAGTCAACAGCACGCGTCATCTGCACCATCTACGGACGAGACAACAGTCTCACGTCCAGATCAGCAGACCACGCCGCCTTTGACTTCGGATGAGATTGCAGGCTCACGCGACGCGAACGAGACTACTGTCTCACGTTCCGGTCGCCGAGTACGGTAGCCCGTACGCTTTCGTGACTAGCCGCACAGTCAACAACCGATACGGTGTAGGATTATTCCTATACTACACGCATGCTACACTCTTCTTTTTTTGATTTCTTTTTGTTTCCTGAGCCCACGCCTTCGACCATCTCCGTTTGGTTCCGTCGACTTCAGTCAACTTTGGCGAAAGCTGGACTGGCCACCCACGCTCTTGTCAACGCACTCAGTCGATATATTGGTTTCGAATGTTTGGCATACGTTTGGTCTCGAACTTGGTCGTTGCGGTCGCTTTTGGTCTTTTGGCTCAACGTGGTTTCGTCCTACGTCTGCAGCGTTTCTGGTCCGCATTCCCTACGAACGCCATCTTCAGATTCTGGATACAAACCACTCGTGTAGCATGCCAACTCAAGCAACAAGTACAGCACATCGCTCCTGGTACCGTTCTCCGAAAACGACCTTCGTTGGCAACTCGACGATCAACGATCGCTTTCCTGTTCGCCAATCCGTTCGTCCTACAATCGCTTGTCAGCCGATCAGTCCCACGATTTAAACCGCTATTTATCGAAAGTGTAAGCCCTTTCTAGCGGGGGGCTCCTGTAGTGACTCACGTTTATTACGAGAACACGACTGGTTCAATAAAAACAATTATTATTATAAACAGTTGTACCAGTGTTTATTTTAATGTGCTTTTGTTTGACTGTGCTAATGACAGCTATATTGGGCTTCCATTCTTGTTCACACACTTCGATTGTAATTCCGCGCGAATTCGGTTACCTTCTGTAACCAAGCTTGTATCCTGGCACGATCTCGGTATCCTTTCGATACCACGAGATCGCCAGTGAATAAATTTTGACTTGGTCCATTTTCTGCCTTCTGATATTTGGCTTCTCGGGGTTTTTATGGAGTCATTTGGAACGAGCTTCTTGGTAGCGGTGTACATAGTCAATCTGGACTCGACGCCACGCTACACTTTGTGAAGACAACATATTAAACATACCCAATGGTTGTTAAAACAATTGATCATGTCGACTTTAATAAAGTCACCATCAAACCGATAACTTTTGTCAATGAATATGTTTCGAATCTGTTGACGAGTGAGGTTAAAGGACATCAAACATTTCAGTTGATATAAAATCTAGAGATGAATAGAATAACATTGTATTCAACAACAGTAGGTATGGATTGTAATCAAAGTGTCCTGCTTGAATATTTGGGCTACCTGTTCTTGACATCTGTATATTTCAACAAGTTATATGTTTCCTTGTTTGTTTTAATACACCATTATGCCTAATAATGAAATAACCTATTCAGGTACGTTTGTGAAAAGTTTACGACATTTTGCTGTACAAGTTACAAAAGAGCTCAATCAAAGACATCGTCGTTGCTGGCAATATTCATCGAAAACAATATGCATTAATCAGATTTCGATTTCTGAACTGTTAACATCTGACTGGCAACCACCCAAAATTTATCGCAAGGGTCGATCAAGAAACAAGATAAAGAAATCTGGCGCGACTCTAATTTAGCGACGACTTTTGAACGAATCTTAAATGACCTTGATATTATTAGGCAATCAGAAGACAGCCAGTATAAAGTGAAAATACATTATAAGTAGGTAATGAATTACAGTGGATATTCTTCTTTTGCATGATTTAAAAACTTGTTAAGGTTTGATAAATGTTCAGAGGTTCTGAATTTACAATGCATATGAAATAGAAACTTGTCCAGAGGATTAGGGTTTAGGTTAGGGTTGGGGTTGTAGCCTCTCAATAAACACCTCTTCTCTAAAATCCGATGCAAACCGATGGCATGTTAACACCCTAACACTACCCTAACCTCTAAACCTAACCCTAAACCCTAACCCTAATCCTAACCCTAAAACTAACCCTAACCCAACCTTAACCTAACCCTAACCCTAATCCTAATCCTAACCCTAGGACTAACCCTAACCCAAACTTAACCCTAACCTAACCCTAAACCTTAACCTCTAACCCTGAACTCTAAACCTAACCCTAACCCAACCCTAACCCCAAAAAACTTACCTCTAACCCTAACCCTAAACCCTAATCCTGTGAACGAGTTTCTATACCATGTGCATTATGAATTCAGAATTTCTGAGCCTTTATCAAACCTTAACAAGTTTTTAAATCATGTAAAAAAAGAATATCCACTGCAATTTTTTACTTTTTTGTAATATATTTTTACTTCATACTGTCTTCTGATTGGCTAATAATTGAAATTGCTCAAACGCTTCTGATTGACTCGTCGCTAAATTAGAGTCTCGCCAGAAATCTTGTTAAAATACTTTGTGCTGAGAATCTCACATTGTACTAAAAATGTAATATTGAATAAAACCACTTATCAATAATAGTAAAATCTATTAAATTCGTAGGATAATAAATTTCAACTTCTTTTACAGATATATAACGACTTGTAATAAAACGCTGGTTGAAAATGTCCATCACAAATGTTGATCACACTAGTTCAATCTTATTTGTTCGGAGATCCTGTTGAAGATCCTGTATTGACATTTAATAAAATGTTTCATCAACCAAGTTTAAATAAAAACCATGTTTGTTTGAGAAATTTGTTCTGTTCTGAAAAATGTATTTTCCAAATCATCATCCAGGATTCATAGCACAAACTCTTTAGATTTATGGAATAAAGTTACGTGCCAATCAGTTGTGATCATCGCGTAGCCTTGGACAAACCATCATTAAACCAAGCTGCTCTACCACATAAGTACGACAATAAGAAACGATAATGAGAAATACAGAATTCAAATGTACACAAACAAGTCACTAGCAATACAAGACCTGGAGAACAGTAAGATTTGCGTGTATCTATTTAACTGTGACCGATTCTCAACTATGCTATTTATTGTCTACATAAGAGATCACGAGCTTAGTCGCCGTCAGTTTGACTGCAATGTACTTCAACATCAGTCAATATCACGCATCGGATTAGATGATAATTACACTGAAATGACACAAGTCCGAAACTTTTTATTCGTGAAGATTTAGTCTCATAAACCAAATAAC